AATTCATATGTCTTATGGACAAAGTTTAAAAGGCATAGCTTTCAGGAATTGTGTACCTAATTTTTTTTCTCTTAAGAGCCCCTTAAAGAGAACGGAAGAACAGTGTTAACATTTGGACTTAAAAAAACTCAATTTTTTTCCTATAATTTTCAAAGAAAATACTGTAATTTCAAAGAAGTGCTGTTCGTGAATTATTGAACCTTATTTTGAAATTTATAAGGAGCATTTGGTTTACATCCTTTCCAGCTTCTATTTTTTATGAATTCGTTCTTTTAAAATACCTAAATATCTTGGCGTTAATATGGTTTATTATAATAGTTAAACAGTATATTTGGTTGTTTCTGAATTTTTTGTTCTTGATAATATAAGAATTTATAAAATTTTGATTCCTTCTCTAAATTATTTATTAAATAGTTGTATGTTCATAATAAGTCTACCATTTAGTTGTGGTCATTTGCTTGTTTTGGTATTTTGAGAGCTTAAATTGATGAGCTTTATCATTGTTAGAGCTTTGAAATTGAAATTTAAAAATATACAGGTATAAACAGTATTATATTTTAACATCATTAATAGGGTATTTGCTTTCTTAGGTCCTTCTAAGGACTGAAGAATCCAGATCCATTGTGAAAATATGAAAAACATGACATTTAAATTAACTGTTTTCATCTTGAGTTCTCCCATAACATATTATTTTTTTCTTATATAGTATGTTGGACTCATTTGAAATATTTTAATTTTTGGTAGAGTTGTTTTATCATCTCTATTTGTCATTTTCATCTATTACATTAACAACCTCAGGTTTTTAGTAGAATGTATCACCTTTCTATTTTTTCAAGTTCTTTTCTTAATATTTATTGGTGTTTGATTCATTCTGAATTTCACTATTTTGTTAGAAGTGATGGAAAGTGACTCTCCCCCTTCTCATTGCCTCTTTAAAAATAGAGAGGCCACAGTTGCTTCTCTAGGGAATTTTGTCAAGGCAAAAGTTCCGAAATAAGGATGGTGTGTCCTCTGCTTCCATTTTGGTCTCTTTGACTAAGGTCACCTGGATGATGATTCTAGTCTCTTAGAAAGCTTCTTTCCCACTACTTTAAAAATCACTGACCATGGTACATAAACAATGACTCTTGGAACACTGAAAAAATTAAATTAAATTAAAAAAAAATCACCAGAATAGATTTCAATTAATGTTAAGTTTCTAATTCTCTTTGAATTATCTTTCTTGCCAGTTTTACAGTGGAAGTTTACTGATTTAGGTCTAATAGACTAGGATGTTTTTGCAGGAAATACCAGAAATAATCAAATTTTGGATTATTATAATCCTGTATTTCTTAAAATGTTTATATCATTAACAGAAATTTATATTGATATTTGAGCCATGGGGTAGATAGTCTCAAGGATCACTTCTGGCTTAATTAACACATGCCTTAAATTTTCATAATGAGTTTGGTGGTGGTTTTAAGATAAACTGAATTTTAAATATGACAGACCATTTCTTCATCTTCCTGCTTTCTTTATTTCTTTATTCCTAAGTCAAAACAAAGCAAGACAAAACCAAACCAAACCAAAACAAAACAGAAACCACAATGTAAAATCATTAACTGAAGTTTCGGGGAAAAGTTACCCATAGTTCTAAATTTCCAAAACAGCTGTTACCATTTATTTTTTCATGTGTTACTCTGTTTTTGTCCACATATATGGATGTTTCATGTGATTAATATGTGGTTAAGATTATAGAGAACATTTATGAAACTTAACAATAAAAAGGTAAATCCTGGGACTAATGAATATATAGTATGGGAAAAGAAAGAATAAATGGATAAATATTAGGATAAATAAAGGATGAATATTAGGCATTTGAGCCATCCTAGGTCCAGCTGGGTTGTCTAATTTTAAAAATAAGGTGGTTCGAATTATTAGAAAATGAGGTGTTCTAAGATACCTAAAATTTACTCCATACTTACCCTTGGGCTTTTCAATTTTGGAGGATAGAATTTGTCTAGAAATATGAAGCATTTCTGGATATAAAAGAGAATGAAATTTATGTGGAGAGGATCATGCTTGAATTTCTTTTCCCTCACTTGCCATGTGATTAGGACAACACTTGTCACTTCATGAGCTTCAGTAGAGATAAAAGTTGTTAACTCACAGAATACTTGAAGGATTAGATTTAAATTACTGTATGGTGACTAACATAATAAAATAAAATAAAAAATAAATAGTGAGTAAATACAGCTTTAGTGGCATCTCATAAAAAAATAAAAAAAATAATAAAAATAAAATGCCAAAGTTGAATTCACATACCATGCAAATATTTGTAATTACGTAGAGACGTGAATAACTAACATGTATAACTAATTGTATCTTTTTTGGTGACTATGGATATCATTAGTGTGGTGAATGTCCTTTTGTGTAAATTTTGGTGGTTTAATAACATTGTATAGATTATGTCTGAACTCCAGGATCTCATGAGGAAACCACACTTGTCCAAAAGTGCTTGTTACTCCTCAGTGACAAGGAGTGCTAATGTATTTTAGTTTCTACTTGTGTATCGATTTTGATAGATCACACCATAGCCACTTAGCAGCATGTTAACATCTTTGAGTAACAGTTAAACATTTCTTTGTGTGACCCAAAAATCCCATTTCTGATTATAAAAATAACACTTGGAAATTAAATTAAATTAAATTATTGAACATACAAATGTAAGTGGAATGTTTTTCTTATAGCCACTAAAAGGTGGCTGGGTGTGCCCGAGGAAGAACAACTAATCCCATCTTTCTTTCCACACTGAGCAGCCAAGTTAGAGGAATCTGCAGGTTATGATTGCTCGTGTTTGGTCTAGGATGAGTCATACAGCTCATATAAGAATACAAGTAGGGTGGTGGTTAAGTGTTGTAATGGGTACAAATATGGTATGGGGCAAGTAGTTAATTTTTTTTTTTAATTTAAAGATTTTATTTATTTTTTTTCAGAGAGAGAGAGAGCACAAGTAGGCAGAGAGGCATGCAGAGAGAGGGGGGAAGCAGTCTCCCTGCGGAGCAGAGAGCCCGATGTGGGGCTCGATCCCAGGACCCTGAGATCATGACCTGAGCTGAAGGCAGAGGCTTAACCCACTGAGCCACCCAGGTGCCCTAAGTAGTTAATTCTTATAAAGGGAACAAGAGGATGTCTCCAAGGAAATGATACTTATGTGGGTCTTGCAGGCTGAACAGAAGTTCACCAGGTAGCCTAACAGCCTTCCAGGTCCAGAAAACTGCATGAGAAGACTTTCTGTGTTTAGTGTAATGCAAGTAATGGTGTGGTTTATAGGGGGCATAAGAAAGGGGTTGGGAGAATGAGCTTAGAGCCACTGCACTAGTACTGCATTTGACTTTTGCCAAAGACGGTGAGATTTTTATTTCTACCCCAGAGTAATGTTGAGAATGTTGTATAACTAATAAAAGGAGAAAGAATAACATAGCCAATCAACAGAAAATAACAGAGAAGTGTTTAAAACACGGAGAAGACATTCCAAATGTGCCCTTGCTGAAAACAGAACATTTTGGGGGAAAGTGGGCAGTGTCCTATTCTAGTTCAACTAATTAGCAAATGCTTCAAAGAAGAGTTAATTCCCTATCCCACATCAGAAATGTATTAGTATAAGTAAACTGATTGATGACACAGCTAACCCATCTGCTATCACTTACCATATAAACGTTAAAATCCATTATGCCCTCAGCCACCAATGCTCTCTGATGTTCCAGAATTCACCGATAGGGTTAAAGGTAGCTTCACAAAAAGAAGTTAATGTAAATGGCCAAAAAATAATAATTACACACACACACACACACACACACACACACACACACACACACACACACAGGTTTCTCTTTAAAAATTAGGACAGTGATAAGAGATACTTTGACAGGGGCACAGATAGGAAATAAGTAAATAGAAGAATTGACAGAAAAAACATATCCTATTCTTATTACACCTTTTTCCCATAGTGATTTTCTGATTTCCCCCTTTACTTAAAGCACTAGATATAGGAATTCAGGAAGCCAGGGTTCTGTACCCAATCATATCGTTTCTGAACACATACCTCGTCCCAGAGAAGTCTCTTTACTTTTCTAGCCTTCAGTTTCCTCATTTCTTGAATGAAATAATTCTCAAGTAAGTTCAACAGGATATAGCAGAGATGCTTCATAGGCTACTTTGGAAGATGAAGGGAGCTTCCTGCCAACCTTTCCCCTTCCAACAGAGCAGCTTTGCTTTTATTTGTATTATAAATGGAGCTTTCACAGGACTTTTTGATAAAAGGATTCTGTCACTTTTTAAAGGTTTGAAAATCAACGAACTAGACACTTCATAGGGCATGTCCAGCTCAAACAATTTCCACATCGGTAGAATGAGGATAGTGACAGTTTCATTTCATACGTATCTGAAGGGCGAACGTGATGTTACATGTAGAAGAGGGCATAGAATAGAGGAAGCATTCAGTATGTTAGCTGTTATCCATCCCCCACCCCAAATAGACCCCTCACAAATAAGACCACATTTCATCTGACTCTTAAACTTTGAGTATGCAGTGTTGACCTGAAAAAATTACGGAATCTGTCTTATATCAAAAACACTATAAAAATGTCTTAGATATTTACTCTGAATTTTTAGTATAACCATTTTATTTCTAGTTTTTGTGCATTGCTTTTCCCTTCTACACTTGAAAGTCTTCTCCTTCTCCATCAAATTTTTGAAATAATTATGACCCGATACAACTATGAAATTATTATTATTTTTTGAGAGAGAGAAAGAAAGCATGAGTGGGTGGGGGAGGGACAGAGGCATAGGGAGAGAGAGAATATTTAGCAGACTCCTTGCTGGGCCTGGAGCCTGTCACTGGGCTGGATTTCACTATCCTGAGATCATGACCTGAACTGAAATCAAGAGTTGGATGCTTAACCGACTGAGCCACCTAGGCGCCCTACAATTATGTAATTATACACATCAATGTGTTTCAGGCTTTGCAGTGCTTGGGAAAGTGACATCAGCATCCACTCTCTAACCCTGCCCTCTGCAACCTGCTTGGAGCTGCTGCTGATATTATCAAGGAATAATGCCACACTGCCTCCATCCCTTCGCTCTATGAATTCCTTTCAGGTAAGTACAGTTTATTTACCAGGAGATAATTTTTCAGTTTTACTTGTAATTTTTTTTTTTTAAAGATTTTATTTATTTATTTGAAAGAGAGGCAGTGAGAGAGAGCATGAGTGAGGAGAAGGTCAGAAGGAGAAGCAGACTCCCTGTGGAGCTGGGAGCCCAATGCGGAAATCGATCACGGGACTCGAGGATCATGACCTGAGCCGAAAGCAGTCGTCCAACCAACTGAGCCACCCAGGCGTCCCACTTGTAATTGTTTTTTTAATGGTCTTTTATTTCACAGGAGATAGCCTACAGAACCCACAGTTCCAGATAATAATAATGATAAGCACAATGCATGTAATACTTTGTCTGTCTCTTTGAAATAAATAAACAGTAGAGGCTCAGAATTGATTAGGTAATAGTCTAATGGTGGCAGAACCCATACCAATCTAACTCCAGAGTTTGTTCTTTTAACCTCCATCTCCTGCGTCTGAGAGAAATGGCAAAAACACTTGACAAATACACTGTGAATGCCACTTTCCTTTTTCTGGCTTTGCCCTAGAACAAAGATTTTCATCCATTATTAGTAACTTTGCTATTGTTAGCTTGCAGTTGAATCGCCAAATAGATGTTTAACATGAATGGTGCCCTACCCACTTCCAGGACCTTTTCCCTATTTCGTAAGTCCTCCCTCATCACTTGCACACTCCTTTGGATAATTATCTGTGCTCCTGGTAAAGGACATGGTCAGAATAGAACAAACAGGACAAAACAACATATGTGGTCTAATCAACAGGAAGACCTCCTCCTCCCTGGTAGGCAGCACATTGTACTGAGGTGGCAAATGGGAGTTAAATATCAACTATTTGCTTAAGTTTGACCTATAGCTCCTGAATGTAACGTTGAACTTACCTATGACTCTTGACAATGGAAAAATAGTCATGAGCTCTCTGAGGCTGATGAGAAGGTCACATGCATTGCTGAGAAATGAGTAAACATAGGTTGGCTCTACTTCTGAAGGATTGTGGCTGCATCCTAAGATAACTTCAGGATCAGTGTAGATTGCTTGATATACCTCTGTGTTAAAACAGGATGTGGATTTTCTTGTGAATTACAGCTCAGGAAATTGTTTTAAAAAATTACTCCAAGAGAATGCTTCCAAACACATTTTACAAAGCCAGCATTACCCTGATACCAAAACCAGACAAGAATGCCACTAGAAAGGGGCTCCTGGGTGGCTCAGTCATTAAGTGTCTGCCTTTGGCTTGGGTCATGATCCCAGGGTGCTGGGATCGAGCCCCATATCAGGCTCCTTGCTTGGAGGGGGGTCTGCTTCTCCCTCTCCCACTCCCCCTGCTTGTGTTGCTGCTCTCATTATCTCTCTCTCTGTCAAATAAATAAAATCTTTAAAAAAAAAAAAAAAAAAGAATGCCACTAGGAAAGAACACTACAGGCCAATATCCCTGATGAACATAGATATAAAAATCCTCAACAAAATATTAGCAAACCTTTGAATTCAATATACAATGAATATATTGACATTTATTCCAGAGATGCAGGGATGGTTCAACATCTGCAAATCAATCAGTGCAATATACCACATTAACAAAATGAAGGGCAAAAATTACATGATCATCTCAATAGAGTTAGAAAAAACACTTGACAAAATTCAACACCCATTAATGATTAAAAACTCTCAATAAAGTCGGTATGGAGGGAACATACCTCAACATAATAAAGGCCATAATATGACAAGCCCATAGCTAACATCATACTCAATGATAAAATCAGGAATAAGATAGGATGCTCACTCTCACCACTTTCATTTAACATAGTATTAGAAGTCCTAGCCAAAGCAGTTAGGTAAGTAAAAGAAATGAGAGGGATCTAAATTAGAAGGAAAAGGAAGTAAAACTATTTATAGATGATATATTACATAGAGAAAATCCTAAAAACTACCAAAGAACTAGTAGAACTAATGAAAGAAAAAGTTTCAAGATACAAAATCAATATACAAAAATCTGTTGTGTTTCTGTATTCTAATAACAAAATATCAAAAAGAGAACTTAAGGGGCACCTGGGTGGCTCAGTTGGTTAAGCATCTGCCTTCAACTCAGGTCATGATCTCAGGGTTCTGGGATCGAGCCACATGGGTTCCCTGCTCAGTGGGGAGCCTGTTTCTCCCCCTCTCCTTGACATTTCTCCTGCTTGTACTCTCTCTTTTTTTCTCTCTGTCAAATAAATAAATAAAACTTTAAAAAATTAAGAAAACAATCCCTTTTCCAATTCTATTGTAAAGAATAAAATACCTAGGAATAAATAAAGTTGAGGTAAAAAATCTGCACACTGAAAGCTATAAGACATTAATGAAAGTAATCGAAAAAGACACAAATAAATGGGTAGATAGTCTGTGCTCATGGATTAAAAGAATTGATATTATTAAAATATCCATACCACCTAGGGCAACCTAAAGATTTGGTGCAATCCTTATCAAAATTCCAATGGCATTTTCCACAGAACTAGACAAAGAATTCTTAAGTTTGTGTGAAGCCACAGAAGACCCCAAATAGCCAAAGCAGTCTTGAGAAAGAACAACAAAACTGGAAATATTATGCTTCTGGAGTTCACACTGTATTACAAAGCTATAGTAATCAAAACAGTATGGTCTTGGCATAAAAACAGATACATAGATCAGTGGAACAGAATAGAGAGCCCAGAAATAAACCCATGTGTATACATGGTCAACTAATTTATGACAGAGAAGCCAAGAATATACAATGGGTAAAGGGTCGTCTCTTCAGTGAATGGTGCTGGGAAAACTGGACAGCCACAGGCAAAAGAATGAAATTGGACCATCTCAAAAATTAACTCAAAATGGATTAAAGACTTGAGTGTGGGACCTAAAAGTATAAAACTCCTAGAAGAAAACGTAGGAGGTAAGTTCCTTGACAGTGGTCTTGGTGATGATTTTTTTAATCTGACACCAAAAGCAAAAATAAACAAAGGACTACATCAAACTGAAAAGCTGCTACACAATAAAGGAAATTGTCAACAAAATGAAAGATGACCTACTGAAAGGGAGAAAATATTTGCAAATCATAATCTTGTAAGGGGTTAATATCCAAAATATATAAAGAACTCCTACAACTCAGTAGCAAAAAACCCAAACACTTCAATTAAGAAATGAACAAAAGATCTGTAGAGACATTTTTCCAATTAAGTCATACAGATGGCCAACATCACGAGTCGTCAGAAAAATACAGATCAAAACCACAGTGAGCTATCATCTCACACCTGTTAGGATGGTGATCATCAAAACTATAAGAACCAGTGATGGTGAGGTTGTGTTGAAAAGGGAAGCCTTGTGCACTCTTGTGGGAATGTACATTGGTGTAGCTCCTGTGGAAAACAGAAACCTGTTGGCCAAAAAATTAAGAATAGTACTAGCATATGATCCAGCAATAACACTGCTGCATGTTTATTGAAAGCAAATGAAAACACTAACTTGAAAAGATCTGTGCATCCCCACTTCATTGCAACGTCATTTACAATAGCCAAGATATGGAAACAAACCGAGCGTCCCAACTATGGATGAATGGATAAAGAAGTTGTGGGGCATATATATGCAATTCAACCATACAAAAGAATAAAACCCTGCCATTTGTGGCAACATGGATGGACCTAGAGGAGATTATGCTAAGTGAAATAAGTCAGACAGAGAAAGACATACCATATGATCTCATTTATATGTGGATTCTAAAAAACAAAACCAAAGAAACCCAAGTTCACAAATATGGTGAGGACAAAACAGGTAAAGGTGATCAAAAGGTACAAAGTTCCAGTTATAAAATAACTCACTTCTGGGAATATAATGTACATCATGGTGACTATAGCTAATAATACTGTATTGAATATTTGAAAGCTGCTAATAGATTAGATCTTAAAAGTTCTCATCACAAGAAAAAAATTTTTGTAGCTGGGATGGTGCTGAATGTTTATTAGACTTATCATGATGATCATTTTGTACTGTATATAAATGTGAAGTTGTTGTATACCTGAAACTAATATAACGTCATATGTCAATTATATCTCAATTAAAAATATTTTTTAAATAACTGCTCCAGTCTAATTTGCATGCATATTCTCCTGGGAAGCTGTGATAGTTTGGGCTTTGTGTACCTGTTTTATTTATCAGCTTCAATCCTGAACTCTCAAAGGAACCTCTGAAAATACCGTCTCATTTTATAAGAGAGGAAACTGAGATTCAGAGAGGTAGAGTGGATTTGTCAAGGAATACCCACCATGTTAGAGACAGAGCTGGACTCACCAGGCTTGTGTCCTGGTAATTCCACCTGCTACCCAAACTCAGTACTTGCTGAAGTCCTGGAAGATGGAGGAGGTGTGAGTGGTAGATGGAGGCAGGTTGTATCTGCCTTGGAATGTTCACAAACACACCTTATTTTGCAGTTACTTATAATTATTTATATACTACCCTGAACCAGAAATTTTTTAAAATTCTGTATTATCAATCCCTATTTCTTTTAAGTTTTGCTCATTGGATTGAACATTAAATAACATAAAAGTTTGTATATGCCCACAAACATTTATGGAGGGAGATGTAAGAAACTTAATAGTGGTTATCTTTGGGGAGCAAAGCAGTAAGACATTTACTATTTAAGTCACTTTCTCATGTACTGTTTGAAATGTTTATATGATGGGTGAATGGGGATCAAGAGAGACGACTCTGACTTGGAGGATGTTATAGTGTATGAGGGAGATAGAATAATCATCCATGTGTGATATAAATTGAGAATAATTTTATTACAAAGTAGCCTCGAGTCTTAAAGAGATTAAGGTAGAAGAGTAATTTAAACTGGGTGTGGGGGGAATTGAGAGGAGGCCCATCCTGCATTGTCTCTGAGACAGAGGAGGTCTTAATCCCTTGACGGATCTCAGCTTAGGCTCATGTCAGCCCCTGGGCACGAAAGGGCTGTGTGCGCTCAGCGGTGTTAGTGCCC